AGGAACATCTTGTTTCTGTCCTTTGTGAAAGACCCCAAACTGCTAATCTCAAGGGAAAAGAGAATCACAGAAGCTCCAGGCTGGTTCCTTCACCGCCTGCCTCAAACCTCAGGGGTAGGGCACCGGCCTCTCCCTTTGGAGGGCGGTGTTGCCCGGGCAGCCTGGCTTGTTGACACACAGGGTTGCTGCTTGGGGCTGTTGCTCAAGGTAATCCTCTCAGGGACAGCACCCCGCTGGCAGCTTTGTAACCCAAAAAGGGCTTCGGTGGTGACTAATAAAGCTGGAAAGGATACACACAGATCCGAGAAAACCCATTCCCTAAAGGAATATGACTTCAGCTAGTCTTCAGTTGGTACTTCTTTGCCTTTTAAGTCACAAACATTAAGTTTCTCTGTCCAAAATACCAGTTCTCCCAGCGAGACCACCTACTCTGGTAAATCACTGAGACACGGCCCAGAGGGCTTATTCTATGGGGGCCTTTGTGTTTCAGGAGATGCACTCTTTCAGCATTTCTGCTGCTTCCAGTTCAGAGCCCCCCTTCCCTTCCATTAGTCCAAAACTCCTGTGGCACTTACCAGGGAACCTGGGCGTTACCCTGGCCTTTCCCACCCCTCAGTTCTATTTCCTTAATGTCTGACATCTGTCTCCCTGCCGCTGGCATGGCCTAGGCCCCACTGCCATTCCCTGGATTCCTGCAGCAGACTACCTGCCCCTGAACTGCCCTCATGCACTGCTCCTCCACTCAGCTGCCGAGAGAGTCTTTCCAAAAGGTAAATCTGATGGAGCCCTCAGCTTAACATCCTTAAATGCTGCCCCTCCCCCACCACAAGACGTTTCCAGGCTACATGTTCCCCGTACTGCAAGAATTCTGAGTTGTCAAGAAAAGCCAGAAATCTGGAGTTTTATGTGAATTCCCACATCCCTGTTTGTTTATTTTTAGAGCTATTACATTTGACACATTTAAAAAATTATAAAACATTGCAATAAGTCTCCCGCCCATTTCTGGCCCCAACTCCCAATCTGAAGAGGCCACCCCTGTTGCCAGTTTCTTCTGTAGTCTTTCAGACACAGACATACTTTCACACGCATACACCAGTACCTTTTTCTTGTATAGATGGTAGCCCATTTTTTTATGATGGTATGAAATTTTAAAACTCCAAGGGTCAAACAAGACACATTTGCAGTCATGGGTCATAAATCATGTAGGCATTGACTGAAGACAGAGCTGGTGCTACCTCAGCACCCCCTCTATACCTGGCATGGTGCCTTGCATGCAGCAGGCACTCAATATGTACATTGCTCTTCCACTGACCTAGTTATTAAGCACCACACTGTGTCTACAGCTGGACACAGCTTTCCAGGTGAACTGTGATATGGGCTACCTTGGAGGAAACACTTGGGGACAGTGAAAACATAACCAGCCTGTGGAAACATAACCAGAACTCAGCTGTCTATAGATTGAGAACCTGCCCACCTCCCATCTATCCTGATTACCTGCGTCTACAACAAATGGACAGAAATAGCAGATCACTCCCTGTTCTCGGGCTCGCCCTGACAGGGTGTCTGCTTGTGCTGACAGCCCAGCCCCGGACAGAGTGCTGACACCAGCATTCCCAAGCCAGCTGTCATTTCTTGCCCTCCGCCAGGTCAAGGCAAGCCTGAACGGGACAGAAACCACAGGACAGGCAGCTTGCTGAATCTTCCCCAGATGCTGGGCGGGGCCGACTGTTGGCTGAGTAAGTGAGGCCTTTTCAAGCTTCTTCATGTTGGAAGAAGGCTCATTGCTCAGGTGGCTGGGGGCCTCTCCTAAGTTAGGCTCTGTTTGCTTGCTTGCTCGTGTTCGTAGGTTGCCTCTGGCTGGTCAGCATGCATGCTGGGTGCGAGGCAGGATGAAATATTCAGTTCAGGATAAGGTGGACCTCACTGAGGAAACATAAACTCTTATCACATATTCTCTCCCTCACCCTCTGAGGTGGTGATTTCCGATTGTTTCTGCAGTGACACGGGTGGCACGCTCCCCGGGGAGGAGCATGAACAATTTCCCCTGGAACAGCATCCCTTTCTCTCCCATTCAAGAGAATATGCTGGAATGCAACATGACCTTGTTTTAAGATTCACCTTGAATTTATTCTCATTGTAGTGTGATATGAATCTTACTCCCAAAACTCAGGTGGGAGAGACCTGTCATATTTTTTTTTTTTTTAATTCTAAGTTACCTCGGGCTTGGAGACCTTGTCTTCTGGGCTGGCAGGAAAATAATATTGGTGGTAGTGGAGTGGGGCTGGCTCTCCCCTTCTCTGGGGAATGTGTAAAAGTCCAGGAGGTTATGTGGTGCCTGGAAAATGGAACAAGGCCACTCTTCTCCTGAGACCAAGACTTTTGCTAATATCCCCAGCATGTCCCTTCAGAGGAGGCTTGAGGAAGCTTCCCTTCCAAGCTTGGGAATCTGGGCTGAAGCTGGGAATCCTAGGCTAAGGTTCTAAGGCAGTTGAGAAACACCACGGAGCCTCTCCACGGAAGTCCTGCCAACCTGCCACCTGCCGCAGGCACCGCAGGGAGCACATTCCTGCTGCAATGCCTGGAGTCCCCTAATCTCCATCCCCTCCCAGGCTCCAGGCTCCCAGAGGTACAAACCAGCTTGTCTGCACAAACAGTTTATGCACTCGGCCCCCGAGCCGAACCTCCCTGTGGCAAGGCTGGCTTCCTGCTCGAAAAGAAACCAATACAGGAAACACAAACGTCATGCAAGTGGCTTGATATGTTATCCTGGCACATAATTTATAATTGAATTAACTGTTCACAAATCAGCACATCCCAAGATTTAGAACTTTTCGCAATTGTGCCACACATTGCAGCTTACGAGACAGGCATCCCTGTTGCGTTGCTCTAAGTAAACGGCAGCTCAGCCCTGGCCGGCAGCTCAGTTGGTTAGAGCGTCATCCCGATACGCCAAGGTTGCAGGTTCGGTCCCCAGTCAGGGCGCATACAAGCAGCAGCCAATGATGCATAAATAAGCAGAACAATAAATCGATGTTTCTCTCTTTCTCTCTCTCTCTCAAATCAATCAATAAATTTTTTTAAAAGTTCATGATAGTTCTAAAATAGCTAAAAAATGAAAGGATACTTTGACCTCACTTCTGCTTTCTTTCTTTCATTCACTGATTATCTTCAGAACAAAATTTTAAAAAAACCTCTCAGATGAAGCGATTTGTAGCCAAGACTATCAAAAGGGATGTTACCCAGTGTCCCAATTAACTGTATCAAGCCCACTTATGAGAATGCATGCATAGCCTTATTATAATTAGTTTATGTTGATTGAAGTGAGAACAGCATTAAACCATTTTCTCTGCTTTCTCAGCACTTTCTTAAAAGTAACCTGTTTTTCACATTAATCTGAATGGGGACAGAGTCCCTGGACGGCATCTGGTTTATGTGGGGTCTGAGTCCACAACATGGTGATTTTTTTTTTTCAGTGTCTTCATTGATTTCAGAGAGAGGAAGGGAGAGGGGGAGAGAGAAACATCCATGATGAGCGTCATGGATCGGCTGCCTCCTGCACACCCCTTACTGGGGATCCAGCCTGAAACCCTGGGCATGTGCCCTGACTGGGAATCGAACCGAGATCTCCTGGATCCTAGGTTGATGGTCAACTGCTGAGCCACACTAGCCGGGCTGGTGATTGGTTTTTAAAAGATTGTCGCCTTCATGTATTGTTATAGATAATATTTGGGCAGGCGTGTAACCCCTTGAAGTAGCAGATTGAGAGCCTTGAGGTTCAAGTTCTTCAGGATATTTATTCCAGCTATGTATTTATTACCTAGGAGCTGAGCAACTGGCCTGCGGGCTGATTGTGTAGCTACCACTGCTGGAACATATGATCCTGGCTGCCCTCAGCCTCTGCCGCCAGCAATAGCTAACGTCTAGGTAAGAAATGTGTCTCAAGGTTGAACTAATGCTCAACACCACTCATACCTAAAGAAATATAAATGCAAACAAAACCCAGAAATCGTTCTTACCTGTCATATGGATAGTGATTAAAATTCTTGGTAATACAAAGTGTGGGTGAGCTTGTGCGCAAACAGTAGACTTATAAGTCACTGATGGGAATATGAAATGGATCAATCTTCTCAGTGGGTAACTTGTCAATGTCTATTAAAATTTTTTAATGCTCATGCTTTCTCCTATCAGTTGCATGGCTAAAAATTTATCACACAAATATATTCAGAGATGTATGCCAAGAAAAGAAAAATGTACAAGGATGTTTCCTGTAGAATTGGTTGCCACAGCAACAAACTAGAAACCAATTAGATATTTCTCAATAAGGGTCTGGTTAAAAACATTAAGGGGCAGCCATACAATGGAATTATGCAACCATTTAAAAGAATGAGGTGAATTTTGTATGCTGAAGTGAAAACCAACAACTCTAAGATATAGTATTAAGTAAAAAAAGCAAAGTGAATATAAAATGTTGACATAATGTCTGGACATATAGACAAAATATTATTAAGTTATTTTAATAACAATATACAATCTAATCTAAAAAAATAAATACAGAGTACCTGGGAAATGGTAGCCCCCTCCCCTGCACCCCTTCTTTATACTTTTTGATATTAGAAACTTTTTACTCCCTGTCAGAAGGTGATTTACTCCCTTCCTCTGGAACTTGGGTGGAACTCTGTGGCAGCCTCAACAATTAAAATGCCATGGAAGTGACAGTGTGTGGCTTCTGGGGCTATGCACAAAATGGCCACATAGCTTCTGCCTGGGTTGTGCTCTCTTGGGATACCTGCCCTTGGAATCCGACGACCATGCTGTGAGGAATCCCAGCCTAACCCACAGTTCAGTGGTTTTGAGTACACTCCAGAGCTGTGCAAACATCACCACTAATTCCACAACATTTCTGTCACCTCCAAAAGACCACCTATACCACCCACTCCCCTCCTTCCCCATGCCATGGCTACCACCAATCTAATTTTTGTTTCTATGAATTTGCCTATTCTCGACATTATATATAAATGAAACCATACAATATGTGGCCTATTCTATCTGGCTCTTTTACTTAGCATACTGTTTTCAAGGTGTATCTGTACTTCCATCCCTTTTTATGACTCAATAAGTTCCACTATTTGGACATACCACATTCGTTTTTATCCATTCATTAGCTGATGGACATCTGGGTAGTTTCCACTTTTTGGAGATCAGGAATAATACTGCTGTGAACATTCATGCACAAGTTTTTGTGCAGACATATATTTTAAAATTTCTTAAAGTTCAAGTACTTATAAATCACCTATTAATATTAAATGATACATAACAATTAAGTGATACTGAATAATAATGATACATAATTATTTCTTATTCATTACAGCAGCAAACCTGTTTCCTTGTGGTAATTCAAATATAATACAGAACACTTGGTAGACCCTTAAAGAAATAAAATGGCACTATTTCAAACCCAGATTTTCCACTAATTTACACAAACCTTCCACCAAATCAGTCAGAATTAATGAGACACCACTTTACTGTCTCTATCTAAAAATAACTAGGGCTATTATGTGGTCCTCAAAATTCCTCTCTTCATGTTCCAAAACAAAAACCTATCATTTTAATTTGTCATACTGGGAGGGACATGAGTCTCTTCAGGATTGTGGGATTTGACTTAGAATTCTTGTGAATATAGAACCTTGGGCTGTACTATGACTTACATTTGGGTTTACCTAATAAAAGTTCAACAAACATAGGCCACATTTCAAAAATAAATTCTGGATTATATAAAAACTCACTTCTGTGGGAGTTTGGGCTCACATTTAGAGCCTCCACCAGTAGGCTATCATGCAAATAAAAACTCTTGTGAAGCTCTTCATCCACAGCGCCGTTTCCCTTCAGAATGCCCCCCTTCTCGGCCCGCGCCTGCTGCTGGCTTCTCCAGAGGCCTCGCCATGGTCTTCGAGTCTGCCCGTATGCTTCACATAAATTTAATATGGAAACAAGATGCTTCTTTGGGGCAGCTGCTGCAGAGGCCACTTGTAGAGAAGAAACCACACTAGTAAGAAAGTGTGGTTGTTTCCTCCAACGGAAAATTACAAGTTTGCTTAGTTTCGATCCTTGGCACCAAGTCTTGGGTTCCTCATCACTGAATAGACTTCTTTCCACTTGGCGTTCTCTCAGCCAGTCCTGGCACACTATCAGAGGGGAAATAATGAGAAAGAAGTGTCTTATAGGGACGAGGAGCACTGGTAGCTTACCACATGGGGGTAATCGTGGATCTTCAAACAAATCCTGGACCAGACAGCAGCATTGTCTTCTTGCTTACATAAACTCTATCAGTGTTCACACCTCCCAAATCATGTGCACACTGGGAGAGCTGGAATGCTGGTTCAGCTTCCCTCCTCTTCAGAGGAACCTTTTGGTGGCTCTTGGGTACAGCTGTAGTTGCCCCAGAGAACTTTCCAAGAGCTTCGCACATCTAATCAGGGTTATTACGCTGCTGTGGGATATAAGGTCCATCTAATTCTTAGTTCACTCACTATTCAGGTGATAGGAGCATGTGATGGGGAGTAAGAAATAGCTTTTTTATTTGTGTGACTTTTGCTAACTGTAAACACATGTGTAGTTAAAAAGCATCTGACATTTCACCTTTCTGAGGCAACAAGCTTATCATTTTGGTGAGCATTTCTAATAATTTTTCCTCTTTGTTCGATGTGTAGAATTATTCATATAGCATTTTTCAAATATATTTGTGAGCATGGTGTTAATTGGTGTTCATCCAGAAGCTAATCCTGAGACAAGGACCGGAAAGGAAGCAATTCATTTGGGAGACGTGGCAAACAGCAATGGGGAGTGCGGAAGTAAGGGAGGGTAAGCCAGCCAATTAAGGGTGGCTATCCTTAGCTGGTAGTGTGGCAGATGGAGCTTAATCCCACAGAGAAACTCTGGGAAGTGGTGAACACGTGCCTCAGAGATCGATCATTTGTTTTTTTGCATTTTTATTGATTTCAGAGAGAGGAAGGGAGAGGGAGAGAGAGATAGAAACATTAATGATGAGAGAGAATCATGGATTGGCTGCGTCCTGCATGACCCCCACTGGGGATCAAGCCCGCAACCTGGGCATGTGCCCTCACAGAATTGAACCACCATCTCCTGGATCACAGGTCGATGCTCAAGCACTGAACCACGCTGGCCGTGCCAGATTCATCATTTGAAGGGCAAGGAAGCTGGCGTACTTAAACCTCAGGTCCCACTGGCTGAGGCTGCTTCCAGTGGATGTTAATTCTGAGCACTTCTGGCCTGAACAGCCTTCCAAGACCCTGGAGTAAGCCCCACAGGAAAGACCTGAAGCTATTCACTGGTGAAGAGCAGCCACACACATACCCACAAAGGTGTTACTGCATGAAAGATGTGCTAGGCACTGTTCTAGTTGCTGAGAACACAGAAGGAAACAAAACAGAGCGAGTCTTGCTCTCATGGAACATTCCTTCTGTTGGGGAAATAGATAACAGGGTAAGTAAGAAACATATGGAGTGTGTTACAGGGTGACAAGTACTGTGGAGAAAATTAAGTACTGAGAAATTCTGGGGAGGAAGGTGAAGGGGTCGGTTGCAATTATCAAGAGAGAGATGAGGGCAGGCCTCACTGAGAAGGTGACATAGGAGGGTAGGAGAAGTCCAGCACAAGGTTATCTGTGTGAGGAACACTCTGGGCGAGGAAATAGTAATCACAAAGGCCCTAAGGCAGGAATGTCCCTAGTGTGTGTGAGGAACGGCAAGGCCTATGACGTTGAGCCGAGTAGGTGAGGGGGAAAGAACAGAGGCCAGGCAGAGCAGAACCTTGTGCCTCAGGCTCCCATCAAGAACGAGACTGAAAGAAAGTCATGAGAGAGCTGGAGCAGATGATGGAATCTGACTTAAGCTTTAACAGAATCACTGGCTGCTCTGCTGAGAATGAACTAAGAGGGGTAAGGGAGGAAACAGGGAGGACAGTGAGGAGGCAACAATACTCCAGGTGGTGGCAGTGGAGGAGTGAGAAGTGTTAGATTCTAGAAATATTTTGAAGGCCCTGTGGGTGTGGCTCAGTGGTTGAGTGTTGGCCCAGGCACCAATTAGTCGCCAGTTCAATTTCTGGTCAGGGCATATGCCTGGACTGTGGGCTTGGTCTCCAGTGTAGGGCATGCAGGAGGCAGAAGATTGATGTTTTTCTCTCTCTCCTCTCTCTAAAAGTCAATAAAAATATATATTTTAAAAAGAAATATTTTGAAGGTAGAGTCAAGGCAATTTGTGGGCAGACTGGATGTGAGAGAGAGAACATCAATGGGTTTGGTCTGAGTAACTGAGAGAAATGGAGTTTCCTTCTCCTGAATTAGGGAAAACTTCAGGAACAAGTGTGTGGGGTCAGGGGTGATTGGGGGCCTGGCATTGGGCATATTAAGTTTGTGTTGTCTGTTAAGACACCTACGTGGAGATGTCAGCAGGAAGTTGAGCGTAGGGGTTTGGAGTTCAAAAGAGGTCCAAACTGGAGATAAACTGCAGAATTTCTCAGCATATAGATGGTCAGAGCCACAAGACTGGTTGAGATTTCCAAGGGAGCAAACTAGATAGAAAAGTGGTCTGGAACTGAACCCTGAGCCCTCACAGAGATGAAGGACTAAGCAAAGGAGACTGAGAAAGAGCACCCAGAGTGTGGTGTCTTGAAAGCCAAGGGCAGAAAGTACTTCTAGGAGGGGGGAGTGGACAACTGTATGCAAGTGTACACTGCGCTACATTTGTACAGATGTGCATACAGAAACACTCTCTATACAGACATACATATGCACACAGGTAGTTTTAGATCAGTAGTGGTATACTAATTCTACTGGGAAGAGTGCTCCGTGGCAATATTATCTGTCCGCTCCATTATTTTAATGGCTGCATAGTATTTCATTGTGTGTATGTGCCATAATTATTTTTTCCCTATAAATATTTTTCCCAATTATAGAATTCTAAATTATAGAGCAATGGACATCTTGTGTATTCATCCTTTTGCACCTGTGTGAGCATCCTTTTGGGATTAAACCCTAGAAGTGGGGTTGCTGTGTGCAAGCTATGAATGCCTTTTAATGGTCTAATTCAAAACTCCTTCCTGGCAGTTCCAATAACCTGAGATGTATTCAATATGGAACAGCCACAGACCTCAAGGAAGAACCACTGGGATGTCATTCCAGGTAGACCCTATTCTACGGGACAGAGAGGACACAGGGCAACCATCCAGGTAATCACTGTTAGAAATAGGGCAGAGGTTTGGGTCACGTCAGAAAAGTCCATGACAGAAAGCTATCTGTCAGTACCAGCTCTCAGCCTGACATAAGGAGCTACAGCCGACTTCTGAATGTAAAAGCACGCCATTTCCACAAAGAGCAGAGCAACTCTCTGGGCCTACAGGCTCTCGGGCAGAGCCACTAGGAGCTTATTATGTCAAGCGCAAACGCAGCAGACAAATGCAGATGTGCCTTTTGTGAAATGACTATAATTAACACCCTATCTTTCTCCACACTTTATTTTTGCTGGCTGGCTTTGTCATCTTGCTGTTAGAACAAGCCTACTACATGCCTCAGATTCTTCCCTTTACCTTGTCATTCGGAGCAGAGGCTAACTCCATCACCTGCCTGGGCACATAATGAGTCTTTGTCTGGATGGGGTCAGGATGTCCTGCATGTTCAATGATAACCTTGAAAATAACATCAACCACAGCCAGATAATTGCCTGAAGACTCCCCGGAACTTCAGGGTAATAAGGGACAATGTATTTAATCCTCAATGTAGGAAAATGCGATGAGACACCTTTCAACTCAGAAGAAAAATGGACACAGAGCCATGCCTTCGATCCATTTATTGTCACCTCTGGAGGGGTCTATAAAAGCATTCAACCCAGGACTCATGACTCACCGCTAGTGTTGACCCTTGGAAACTGTAGTTCAGCAATACCCATCCAGGGAGAGCTAGTCCACTCTGCGGGGTTCTTAATCATTAAGGCAGATGCACAGAATGTTCCTGATAGTCTGAACTTTAAAAAAGTTTTAGATTTGTGTGATCTGGCTGCATGCTCTTCAGCTCCCGCAGTCCATGGGCTTTTTACCATGTCGTGTTCCTTTATCACGATAGAGCCCATCCACACACACGGATTCAGCCACCAACATGGTCTCCGCCCCTTCTGCTCCATGAAGGTTGCCCAGTGTAGTCAGCATGTCAACGAGAGGGTTTTCTTGTACGTTGTGGCTAAGTCATTTTATCCCCAAGAATACAGCAGTAGAGGGAAGCCTACAGAATTTATGCCAAATTCCATTCCTCAAATGACCGACCATATTTCACAGCTGACTTTAAGATAATTGCCTCCTGACCTGTAAGCCTCTGCATGATGCTTAAAATCAGAGTGTGGGAGGGAACACCACTTGGTCTTTCTCCTTGGCCTGGCTCCGCATGAGCTGTCTGCCACCTGTCCTCAGAATGCTATGTAGTACTGCTCCATTGTGCTGACGATGTCACTCTGGTCCTCCAGCAGCTCCAGCACCTGCTGCAGCACAGGCTCACTCAGGCCTGGGTTGAGGGTCAGGCGAGCACAGGCCAAGATGTGCCGGAAGTGGCAGCCCTTCTCCATGTCTGCGGGAAAAAGGCAGTTGGCTAAGCTTGGACATACCTGTCAGACCCTTCTCCCTTTTCTCTCGCTCTAAATCAAAGCCCTTCTTCATATCCCCTGAATCAGAACCTGCATCTTAATAAGATCTCCAGATGATTCTTATGCACATTAAAGTCAGAGATATACTAGTCTAGGTTATCAGCAAGAACAAAACAAAACAAAAAAACCTGTTCTCAGGCCTGTCTATGGACCCACTGCTCAGGGACTCAAGCCTTCAACTCTCAGGGATTCCCAATCAATAATTTTATATCTATACCCTCATGGATTTTCAGTGCTTGACCATCTTTTTTCTCCAATGTCATTACACATATAAGTGCATGTATTCTGTGCTAAACCCCTAGCTTCCCAGGTGGGACCCCACTTGAAACTGACAGCAGAGCCAGTTTACAGCAGCCTCTATACTCTTTCTCATGAGTCCTGATTGATGGGGCTGCCATGATTAAGAAAGGACTCCTAGCCTTGGTCTATTTCATTCATCTCTGCACAGGCTTCCAAAGTTTGTCTGTGACAGTCCTGGT